ATATATATATATATATAATTTGAGATAAATTAAATAAGATATCATGTACAACAAGCTGATTATTGAGAAGTTTAAGTGAGTAAGTAAACTTTATACAGCACTTTTCACAGACACAAACATCACAACAGAGAGCAAAATAACTAACAACAATAAAACAGATCACAAATTTAAAAAAACAATTAAATACAGTAAAAGTACTAAAAGCCTGTCTGAATAAAAATGTCTTAAACCAAAAGAAATGAAAGGGAAAAAGGGAAGTTGAAGACTTCAATGACTAAGGTTGTCTGTAACTTGTAATTTCCTCAATAAAACACGGTTTCCTTGTTTTGTAATTTGTTTCCTTTTCATCTTCGCTCATTTTAAAGACCGGACCGACCGGTCGACTTATCTGCTGAGGAGAGCCAATCAGATTCCCCGCCGTGTCTTTGGCTCCGCCTCTTTTTGAAGAGCACGGGTGTAAAACACTTCCTCGTTTCCCTTTGCCGTTGCCGAGGCGACCGCACAGCAAAGTCAGCCGTTGGCTGAGCCGCTGTGACGTCAGACGGGAGCGGGGCGGGTTCGGGAATTCCTTTCCATGCACGGGCCGCGTGCTGCTGTTATGTCAGGCCGTTTTAATGTGACGGCGGAGCTCAGCCCGTGGGACACCGGTGGGAGGAAGCGGCACGCACTTCGTACACGTGAGGCGTTAAGTTTGTTACCGTGCTTCAGCCTCGTGTCGTGTCGGCCGTGGCTGGRGAAGGAGATGTGTCCGAGCCGAGACGGACAAGTTTCAAAGTGAAAAGAGGAGACATGGTCATGGTGGTCATCCTCGCCTGTGTTTTTTGCTCTTGTTAAACATTTCTGACGTCAGAACTGCGACCAGGGTCACCGAAACCAGACTGAAGTTAAATGTAAGTCATAACAACAAGAACAGCGGGAAGTGTGTCCTGATAAAGAGGCTAAAGCAGGGGCTGATAAGTCGTAGTGGTGTTTTTAGTGATAACTTCTTTCCGTTTTGAATCAATTCAAATGTTGTGGAGGGAATGTCTCACTGCCACTAAACTTACCTAAAAGTCTCAAAGCAAAGGAAACTGAAGTAGGTGAACTTTCACTTAGTCCGGTTTGTGTGCTTTAACTTCACTCACCTGCTGTTTGTTGCTCTAAAGTGTTTCCGGGTTTGAGAGCTCAGGGTGTCCTGACAGAATACTAACAGAAACCCTCATTTTAAAGGTTAGATTTGAAACTAAACAATTTCTGAGTTTTGTTTTTGTTTTTATTCACAAGTTTGGAATCAGTGATTTTATGTAAAAGTTGAACACCAAAAGTTGAAACAGGTGTCTAAATGGCATCAATTTAATGTGCAGGGTGAGCAAGTTTAAAGCTGGAATCTACATTTTCTGTCTTTAGGTGGATCTATATCTAAAATATGTCATCTATTATTTATCCAAACTAAAACTGGTCTGTATTTGGTCTGATGGTGAAAGTTTAGTAGACCTCTAAATTTTAACTAGACATGTCTAAAACACATTCATAATACATTTAAGCTAAAACTGCTCTTTATTTAGATCAAAGTAAAAAACTTTATAGATTTCTAAATTTTAACTAGCTGTCTTTTAAATCTATACACATCTGAAAAGTGTTGAAAGTCTATTTGAAACTTGGATGTTTGCTAAATCTTTTGATTTTATACCAAATATAGACCACTTTAACCCTAGACGGTTATATTGTATCCTAAGTAAAAATCTTAAAATGCTCACAGGGAGTAAGGTAATATTTAATTTTTAAACCTGCGTTATGAGTTTTGCTGCTCAGTTTTGGACTGATGTCGTGTGCGCACTGCAATTACGTTCATTTGCACAGAATGTTCTCCATCTGCAAGAAAGATTAATTGCTGCTTTTTGTACTATCGCACCATATCTCCAACTGTTAGCTCATTTCTGTTAAGCTTATTTAGTCAATAGTCTCATACGTATTTTATCTTGACGTTCTATTTCTATCTACTTCATATTTTGCACGTTCTTTAAAAAAATTTGTACTTTTGAGTTTTATTCCTTGTTTATGTTGTCTGTTCTGCACCTCAGCAACACCACGTCACATTCMTTGTAYGTAAAAATACTTGGTCAATAAATGCTGTTCTTTTTAAGTTTTCTGATGTTTTGTTGGAACTATGCRAACTTGGCTGACAGGGTGGGTTACTGTGCTAGAAACCTATAATATTTTTAAAAATACTTTGTGTTAAAAGAAGTTTCTTAAATACTGCAGTGCTTTTGATTGCAAGGGTCTCTCTCTGAGCTGTAAAAGTTCACAGCCATGTGACAAACTTCACATGATCTTATACTCACTGAGAGCTACAGTGGTGAAAAAGGGGAAAAAACGTGKTTTTTTTTWACGTTTTTTCTCAGCCCTAAAKCTTATTGGTTCCCATCATAGCTACGGTGATTGTATTCCAGCATATTTCCCAACAGGACTTCTAGTATGGGTTTTTGTTTGAGCCCTGGCCGGGCCGCGTGTATCGGATCTCATCAGCGAGCACGTTCCCATGACAGTCGATCTGCACCCCACACAGAGCAGGGCCGACAGAACTCTGCTGCAGCAGGGATTGACTCACTGGCAGTGTGCGGGTGTGTACGTCCAGCTCGGATGCCTTCTCCTGAGCTCCCGGGGCGTCTGGCGGACCGTCTTTAAATAGATAAGCACTGTACGCCAGAGAGAGGTCGTGACCTGCGAGCAAGGTGGTTTTCTGAGTCTGTCTCCGAGGGTGATTCAGCAAAACACTCCCTGTAATCGCTCTCTGAGTTAAAGGAAGACAGGACGGGCAGATTACTTACTGGGTTTTATCTTTCTCACCGTGAGGTTGGCAGAAAATGTCACGTTGAGAATATTTGTTATAYACCAAAAGTATTTTTTTTTAGCAAAGATTACCCCTCGCCTGCTGTAATACCAGACTGTTCTATTAGAATTTCGCAACTTTGAGAAGTAATCTGAAATAATTCTGATAAAAGGGGAAAAAAAAAACAAGAAAAACTTCCCCTTAAACCATAAAAATATAAAGTTGTATCTGTGTTATGCAAAAAAAATTAGACTCAAAAATGATCTGGGACCACATTTTAGCATTTCCCATAATTGTATTATCTTCATATTATTTCAGTAATTTATGACTATTTTTTTCTCCACAACAAATCTATTCATGTTCTTTAACAATTTTATAGTTTTTTTTTTAGGAATATAGACATTTTTATATGCTACCATTAGAGACTTATACTCTAATAC